CCCCCACAAAAACAAAAAACCCAAAACAGAACAATAACAAAAAATTCACTTGTTTTAGTTTATTTAAACTAGTATTTCTTGATCATATTTGCCCACAAGAGATTTTTAAGTAATTTCTATAACACACCTTGAAAAACACTGACATAGATGAAAAATAGAACCAAAAGATAGTGGAAATGAGCAGGACATAGTGTCACCTCAGACACAAGACCCAGCACTTGGGTCTTGTGTCTGAGGTCATTATGGACTAGAATACATAGGGAGACTCTATTTCAAAGCAAAAACAAACAACAACAAAAACAAAAACAAGATGGCTGGAAGGTTGGAAACTATAAAGAAGTTTGAAATAAGAATAGATTAAATAGGCAAAGTTTTATTTTTCACAAGGTCTTACCATGTAGTTTTAGGCTAGCCTGGAACTTACTATGTTAACAGAACCAGACTCCAATCTCAGGAAACTGTCTTGTGTTTTATACCTCCATATACTGCTCATAGCACTCAGATTTCAAATGCTTTATCTACTTAAACTTGAAGTAATCCTCCTGTCTCTGCCTCTGGGGTGCTGGAATTATGCAGACCAAACTGGCCTCTTAAACCCAGAACGTATCTTATAGGTCTGGTAACCAGTGAACATTTTTAAGAACTTTAGAATGAGTACTTTGGCAAATAGGGAAAAGAAGTTATTACTGAGCTGGAAGGTGAGAACACATGGAAGACTCAGGCAAAAGCTACAGAACAGGAAGTAAGGGGCAGATTAAGAGAAAAGGTTGAGGGCTATGGGGACGTAGCTCAGTGGTAGAAATGCTCGTCTAGCATGTATTGAGACTGTAAGTTCAGTACCCAGCAGTAATAAAAAAAAAAAAGAGCGGGGGAAAGATTGAGGAAGGCTTCAGAAAGGGAAAGGCCTAGTTGGACATGACGGTGTATACTTGTAGTCTCAGAGCTCAGGAGGCAGAGGCAAGAGGACTACTCAAGTTTGAGACCAGCAGGGATGTACGGCAGACCCTGTCTTAAACAAGCAAAAGAAAAATCCTTTACTGAATGTGAAATATCTCTCATCCAGGGAGCTGTTCCTCTCTTACAAATGTACTCTATGTAAATTAATGCACTATACATAAGTGAACAGAGGCTTCCTGTTTATAGTGTGGGAAGGTCAATAGCTGATACTATCTGCTGGGGCCAGTGAGAAGCAGGACTCTGCAGGGAAGGGAGGCAGCAATGAGAGGCTGAAGTCTGGACCTGCAACAGAATGTAGGTCAAGACAGTCACAGCATTTCTGTTCTGGGACCTGTCCCCGCATGACAGGAAATTCTGTTGCCTACTCTACTCCTCTACTCACCCCTCAGACTCTCAGAGATTCTGAAAATTAAAGATGGACAATAGAACCCCCGAGAGGAAAACAATACAGTTACATCACTTGTGGGTTTCTGAAAGGACGTACTTAGGCAGAGACTCAAAAGTGTAACAGATCAACTGTACCACTTATTAGCTAGGAAGCATTAACCCACATTTAAAATTCCTCAAACAGGTTTTTCCTTTACCACCATCTACCTGTATGTGGATAAAGTGAAATTACTATTTCATTGAGATAATACTTTGAAGACTCACTGCAAAGAACTACAAAAATGCAAGCTATTTGCATTTTAAGCTAATTTTATCTCACTTGAAAGTATATTTTTAAAATTACACGTTACTACATTATTTGGTATACCAAATAATAATGTGTATCTTTTCCCATTGAAATTGGTTCTCTTGATGCTAAAGTCATGATAAAAAGTATCAGAACTCTTTTCTGTTCTACAAATATATGTATATATAAAAGAACAGATCTCTTAATTTATGGTGTTCCCATTAACTTACTCATGGTAAAATGATCATAACTTATATGACCCCTTAGCCTGTAGAGTGTTCACATACATACATGGGAAGACTTGGCCAATTTGGCTGTCAAGGGTGATGCATGGGCAGTAAACATGGTCAGGTGTAGGAAGAGATAAATGAGGTTTAGGGTCACTTTTCTAACACACAAGACTCTTGCCAGACCCAAAAGAATAGGACAGTTTAATTAAAAAGAAAAAAAATCTACACATGGTAGTGCTCACATGTTATTCAGTACTGGGGAGACCTAGGCAGGAGGATCAAGAGTTTTAGACAGATTTGGTTAAGTAGCAATACTGTCTGAAAAACCAAATGGGGACTAGGAATACAGCTCAGCAGGCAGAAAACTTGCTTGGCATGCACAGAGCACTAGATTCAATTCCCAGCACTATATAAAATCAGTGTCGTGGTTCAGAACTGCAGCCCCACCACTGAGCAGGTTGAGGCAGGTAGATTATTAGACAGAGTTCAAGGTCATCCACAAAGCAAAGTAAGAGGCTGAATCTAGGCATGGAAGGCCAGCACTCAGGAGAAAGACACAGCTGGACCTCTGGGAGTTTGAGGCCAGCCTGGTCTACAGAGTGAGTCCAAAGTGGCAGCACATTCTTGGAGCTCAGCCCTGGGGAGGCAGAGAGAGGTAGCTTTCTGAGGCTTACTGGCCACCCTAAGTTGACCTCTGGTCCTCACACACACCACAGAAGCTACTTTTCTTCTGGCATTAAAAAGAGGTGGCAGAACAACTGTCCAGAGGGAACTTAGACAACTAACTATTTGGAGAGTAACTGAATTATAAAGGGACTCTACATCTAGCCACCTTCAATTGAATATTTCAATTACTTTATAAACACTAATTAATTAAGCCTCTTAAGTCTTAAGAAAGGGTTAGGCCTCTGTCAGATAAGAAAAAGCAGGTAAGACTATTAACAGGAATCAGAAGAGAAACTAGAGTCTAGCATCCCTGACCCTTTCATTGTTGTTCCTACATACAACATGCCCAAGCAGTGGCAGTCCCCAAAATTGGAATTGTGATAACAAGCCAATACTTGAGTTGAAGAAATGTTGGGTTTTGGAAGTAAGACTACTATTCCAACACTGGTTTGTTTCATTGCCTACTAGTTAGTTGTAATGACCCTGAAAAAAATACTTAATTTCTATAAATACCAGTTTTCCCACTTGTAAAACTGTTATCAAATCAACCTCACATTGTTGTGAAGATCAAAGTATGCATGCCTGGCACAGGTACCCAGGTGAGGGTTTGCTTTCTTTCCCTAAACTTTACTTTCTCTAAACGCATAGATACACACACAGAAAATGTGCACATGGTTGTTATATTCGCACTAATTAAAATAAAATCTGACAGAATCTCAAAAAAAATAGAAAACAAACCTAAAAAAAATTCCCCCAAAACAAAGACACATACACACATAAACCTCTGAATGAACCTACCCCAATCTTGCTAAATTAAGAAAATAGTTTAACTCGTTAATAACTTTAAAACCACTAGTAGTTTGTTTGGATTTGTCACTAAGCTTTCATATTAATTTCTGTTCATCTATATTGATGTGAGGAAAGACACAGATTTACTTAAAAAAAAAAACAAATTGGTGAGCTTTCCCAGAAAGATTATAGGGAAGTGACATTTCATTGTTAAAATTCAAATAAACTGTCATCTCTAAAAAAGGAGTTAATACGCTATTCTGCAATTAATCAGGCAGTGCTTTCCTAAATTAATATCCCTTTGGTTCAGAAACTAGACCAACACTATCAGCAAAACCTGAATATTCTATAAATTAACTTCCTCAAAGCCAGTAAAGCCACCAAACACAAGCACACCCTTTCAAGAGCTTGTAAGCCCTTCCTGGTACTCACTGAATAGAAAGTGAAAGCAATCTGGGTACCTTTGACCATATTTCCAAGGAACTTGAGTAATTTAGAAACTCCATCTCAGTGAGGTTAAATACACCTACTTCTGAACAAGTCTGCCACTTTGACACCCCAAACAGCTCCTTTTGAAGGGAGACAAATGGCAGCATCATGGAAATCTCAACTCTACCTTGACACACAGGCTGCAATTAAAAGTCTTTAACTCCTTTGAAGCAAGGGTTCACACAGCTTTTTACTAGCATTACGTTTACACCAGGCGCCCGAGGAGAATCTTCTGCCCCCAAACCATGACACACAAGAATGTAATTAATCTGTCCAAGGTCACGGAGCAGGTAATGGCAGTCTGACTCCCCACCACCAGAAGAGCCCCTTCTTGGCTGCATTTGGTCATTCATGGACTGGAATGATAGTGACAAGCAGGTCTTTTAAGAAGGGTGGAGAAGCTCCACTGACCACTTCAGATAGGGAAATCAGGTATTCCTCTGCAGACGGAGTATGTTACCTCACTGACCTTTGAAATTAAGCACACATAGGGCATGAAAACGACTGTCAGACAGATCAACGGAGAGGATGGGCAAACACATTTTCTTCACCGAATCAACTTCGGAGTAGTCACCGTCTCAGTGCCCCGCTGATTTTCCTGGACGAAGAGTCCGCTTCCACTCACCCTGCCCTAGGCAGCACGTTAAGAATCACAAGGTGCCTGCCAGTAGTTTGGCACAGCACGCAGTGCTCAGGGTGCCCCTAGAGCTCTGTCAGTGAGCTGCCTTCCCTCACCCACATCTCAACTTTCAGCCGCGGTTGTCAGGAAGAGCACGCCTTCTGCAATGCTGCGAAGCGCGCCCCTAGCCAGTTGGACACACCCCTCAGAAGCGCTGCCCCTTCTCTAGGGCATTTTCTTTCTCCTTTAACAAGTGTCCCTCCACCATCATTACGAGACACCCGCCCCCCCCAAAATACCTGGCAAAAACAAAACACAAAGCCCCTGCTCACCCTGGTCTCCTGACTTAATGGACAGTTCCCTTCTCTTACCGCTCAGCCACCACCTCAAACTCCTAAGAAAGCATAGGGTGCTGAGTGCCACGGGTCCGGTTGCGGGGCTGGTTCGAGGGTCGGTTACTTATGATCACCCCTCCTCTCCCGCTTGCTAGGTATCCTCCTTTCCTCCCTCAAGGGGGGCTGGTGGTGACACCCGCTGCACCCGGGACGGTCCCCCGCGGCCACGCCCCCGCGCTCACCCGCAGTCCGGGGCCGGACACCAGCGGCAGTCGGGGTCCGAAGCCAGGTACCGGCGCAGCATGAACTCTTCGTACTTGTGCATGAGCGGCGGGTCGGCCAGCAGCAGACGGATGTCGTGTGGGTTGAGGCGCTCGCTGCACTCGGGGCAGCTGATGGGCACGCGGCTCTCGCTGATCTCCAGGCGCAGGTAGTGGCGGAGGCAGTCCCGGCACGAGCGGTGCGGGCAGCTGAGGAGGCGCGGGGCCCGCTCGGGCGGCAGGCGCACCAGGCACAGCGGACACTCCACCTCCTCCGCGCCGCCGCCCTCGGCCACCTCGTCCTCCTCCGGCCCCGCAGCCGCGGCCTCCGCCTCAGCCTCGATAGCCGGCTCGGCGGGCAGCGCCTCCATCGGCGGAGCCTGGGCCTCGGTCGGGGCCGGAGCGGGAGGCGGCGGCGCGGCCGGGGGCGGCGGCTCGGCCTGAGGCTTGGTCCGGGCGCGGCGACGGCGGGCCGTGGCGGAGAAGACGCTGTGGAAGGTGAGGCGCCGGCGCCGGCCGCCGCTGCGGCACTTAGGGTCGGGGGCGGCCGCAGGGAGCGAGGTGGAGCGCGGCGACTCGGAGTCCTTCTCGGAGCCCATGGCCGGCAGAGGCTGAGGGGCCAGGGGCGCCCAGCGCCGCCGCAGCTCCCGCCTCAGCGGCCCCCCAGCCGGCGCCCCGGCCGCCGCCGCCGCCGCCTAGGCAGCCCTCCCGGAGACAGAAGCCGACCAGCCGCTACGAAGTGGTTATAAAGCCTCCGCCCCGCGCGCCGCGGCCCACTGCGCAGGCGCCGGCCTCAGACACCTCACAACCCCCGCGGCCCCGCGAGAGGAGTTGGGCGGGGCTGGGAGGGCGGGGCCTGAGGGCAGCGGTGAAGTCCCGCCTCCTGCAGTCAGGTGGTCTGGCGCAGCCATATTGCACAGGCTCCACCCTCCACTCCATGCCCCGGACCCGGTGGGCTGGGTGCTCATTCCAATAAGGGAGCCTTCAGTTCTTCTGTAAAAAGAAGACGAGCGTTGATCCGGTACAGATTCCCACGGGCCCACAGTCCAACACATCTATTAAGGCTGGCCATTAAGTGGTAGGGAATATTCATTGAACATCTATCTACAAAGTGAGAGGCACCGCTAGGTAAGACAGACAGGGGTCCCGAACTGCAAGGGACCGGTAGAATAAAGTCCAAAGTTCTTAATTTGTCATTTGCTGTTTTCTGCCAACTAATGAACTATACTCCTAAACTCTATCTATCTATCTATCTATCTCCCATACTGTCTTCCAGGTACTCTGGTTATCCGCTGTTGGTAGAAAGAGGACCAACAGTTTCTTATCCGGAAATGCTTTCAGTCCCCCTTCCCCAAACCCTCAGACTTGGTAATGAGAGACAGGCAAACACCTTGAACAGCGGCAAAACATGTTAGGATTAGATTTTGGTTGCAAACTAAAGAAATAAAGAGGGAGGGGAGATTGTGACAAAATTTTCTTTCCATGAAAAATATGTCCAAAGATTGATAGTTCAGGCTTCAGTCTTAAGGTCACCTCATCCTGGTCCATATTCCAAACGATGGGAAGGCAAATGTCTTTTTTCTTTTAAGAAGACTGATTTGGAAGTTCTTGTTTTTGCTTAAATCTCATTGGTCAAAACAGTCATCTTGACACATCTGTTTCTTTCCTTTTTAAGAGATAAAAATAGTACCTCTTATTAATAAGCGGTGGTAGCAGGAGAGCTCAGTAGTAATGTACTTGCCTAGCATGCCTCACAGAGAGGAGAATGGTGCAGTGAAGTAACAAATATTGAACATACATAATAAGCAGTCTTTTTCTTGACTGATATTTAAAACCAGGCTCCCAGATCTTCAAACTTTTTGAGATAAAAAACAACAAAGCAACAAAACCCATTGGGAAAAAAAAAAAGTCCAGTAATGAAAACTGCGACTCAGGGTCTGGTGACCTAAAAGGAAAACCAAGCAGACCTGATGTCATAGATGCCAAGATAAATTGTTTACATTTATCAATTGTGACAAATGCTGCTGAGAAATCAAGAAAGATAAGAACAGAGAAATGACTGCTGGGTTTGGCAATACCACGGAGTCTGATAGGAGGTATTACGGGTATTAAGGTTCAATATTAAGGGTCACCCTTCAGTAGGAAAGAGGTTTGATGCTAGATGGCTAAAACAACAGTTAGTGTCTGTGTGATGATCGGAACAGGCTAGGCTCTGCTGTGGTAGCAAATACTCCAGATAGCTCAGTGACTTCCCACAGGTGCATTTCCCCCACTTGTGTAAAACCCGCTGTGGCAGTTAATCTTCAGTGTCAGTTTGCTTTGATTTAAAGTCACCACAGAAACACATCTCTGTTTTGTCTATAACAATGTTTTCTGAATAGCTGAAATGAGGAGGGAGAATCCACCCCGAGTGTAGGTGGCACCATCCCATGTGGGAGTCCTGGAGCTGAACAGACAGGAGAAAGAGCTGAATCCCCACCAGCATCCTCTCTGTCTCTCTCTCTCTCTCTCTCTCTCTCTCTCTCTCTCTCTCCCTTACTCTGCCTCCTGACTGAGGATACGATGTGATCAGGACTTCCAGCCACCATGCCCTCTCCACCATGATAGTCTACATACTCAAACTGTGCCAAAATAAGCCCTTCCTCCTCCTCGCTGCTTCTACCAAGTATTTTTCAGAGCAGCAAGAAAAGGAATATGTCTGCTACAAGTCAAGGTATTCCCCAAGGTAAGCTACATGTTTTAAAATTGAGACAGGGCCTTATATGGCAACTTTTGACTGTTCCAGAACCCGCTATGTAGACCAGGCTGGCCCCAAACTTGTAGAGTTCCTCCTGCCTCAGCCTCTTAGGACCTGGGATTAAAGTTGTGTACCGACACACCCAGCTGTTAACTTTTCTTTTACTCTTGGATATTTAGGACACTTCTATCCTAACCCTCTCATCTCAAGCGCAGACTTTGAGATTGCCCCAATGAGAAAGAGGGTTGGAGGCTACTCAACTAAACAACAGCTCCCACTCCCAGACTGCTAGCCAGAACTGGTCACACAGGCCCAGTCCAACTGCAACAGGGACTGGAGCAGGCAGGGAAAAGGTCGGCTATGTAGTAGGTAATATTCTTTCGGCCACAGCTCTCTCCACTCTTCTTTGACTCAGCTCTCATCCTCCTAGGAGGAAGGTGGGGAAGAGGACTGCCTTGCTTCTTGGTCAGATTGTGCCAAAGGACAGGGGGACCCCAATTCCAGCCAGATGCCCTGAGGTCCATCTCCCTGTACAGCTGAGAGAAACAGCTGTCGGTTTCTAGTTTGCTCTCTGGCATGTGGTGGTGCATTCCTGTAATTCCAGCAGTAGAGAGTCCAAGAGGCCAGCCTGGGCTACGTGAGACTTCATTAAAGCAAGCAAGCAAGCAAGGAAAGAAGGAAAAGGAAGAAAGGAACGAAGGAACGAAGGAAGGAAGGAAAAGAAAGGAAGGATAAAAAAGAAAGGAGAAAGACTGAAAAGAATTCTAACTTCTTGAAAAACCCAAATGTTTGCTTGTCTCTTCTAAATGCCACTGGGCTTGGCAGTGGCCCCATTTCCCAAGGCTTTGCTCTCCTGAATCATCACCGTTGAACAGAACAAGGCAGGCTCCTCCCACTTTTTCTTCTCTCTCTTGTCTTTAGAAACCGAGTAGTGACTCAGGGAGATGGCATGAGGGAAGAAAGGACTCTCACTCATCAGTAAATACTCATTATACTTCCTTTGCACAGCTCTTTGCCAAAAGCTGGAGTCATGACAGAGATGAAGCGCATAGCTCTCTGGGGTTACAGCTAAGAAAGCAGAGCACTGGGGCACTAGGCGATGAAGGCTTATACGCAGAGTCGATGACAGGCCAGTGGAGGGGATGGCAGGCTTTGCTTGTGTCTTCCAGATGGAGTTCATGCAGAAGAGCTCTCATAGCAAGGTGTCCGTCAGAGCGGACAAACTTGTAAGGGGAAGGGGGAATTCCAAAATGAGGAAGGCAGAAGGAAGCACGTACTGGGAAGGCAAAGGCGTGCTCAGGCTGAGGAAGCATGAGCACCAGGGTGTAACTGGAAAGAATATTTGAAAGGATATGACAGAGAGGCTGGAATGGAAAGTTCTGTGTTACGGCCCCATCAGGTGCCAGGAACAGAGAGGCCTGGCACAAGTGAGTGGAGGTCCAAAGAGAGATTTTTGGCTCAAGTAACCCTCTGAGCCATTGGTACCACAGTAGCTTGGCCCAAGGATCACCGTGGACCAGCTGCATCCAGGAATGCATCCAGCCCCTGCAGTCATTCATCATTGCTTCCTTCCATGTCAGTTGCTTTTTTGTTGTTATTGTGGTTTTTAAAAAAAATCATAAAGTCTCCATTTTAATCAATTTCAAGAATACCATTCAGTGACATCTGGTTTCCACATTGCTAGGTAACCATTATCACCTTGCATCTCTCTTCCTTTGCATACACTCTCACTGCCTCACCATACGCCATAACGCAGTTGGACCAGTCTTAGATGGAAACCTCTGAGTCTGTGAGCCAAAATAAGCCTTCATCTTTTAAGTTGATTTACCTCAGATTTAAGAGAGCACTGTCAGCCTGCACTGTACAATCAGTAGGAGGAGTAACAGCTCTCCAAAGGAAGGAGCTGAGCTATATCATAAGTAAAGAAGGGGAGCTGGAGAGATGGCTCAGCAGTTAAGAGCACTGACTGCTCTTCCAGAGGTCGATTCCTAGTCCCCACATGGTGGTTCACAGTCCTCTGTATCTTCAGCTCCAGGGGGATCCAAAGCCCTCTTCTCCCTTCCTCAGGCACTGTATTATGTATGTGGCACACAGACATACAGACAAAACACCCATACACATACACATAAAACAATTTTTAAAAGGAAGGACAGGTGAACACATAGACTATGAAATATTCACCAGAGACAGATTAAGGCCAGGCTACCAGAAGTCTAGAAGGCCAGGATGAAGAACTCAGCCTTTAATCTTCTGGGCAGCTAGACTGTATAGCAATGTTTGGATCAGGAACAGTCATACATACAAAGAAGTTGGAGTGAACTTTGGACCAACACATGTCCAAATCCAGAGACCCTGTCTACTGTGTAACATTAAGGAACATTGGAATTTCATTTTTATTTTATTTTTTGAGACAGGTTCTACGTAGCCTTAACTGGCCTGGAACTTGCCATATAGATCAAGCCAGCCTCAAACTCATAGAAATTCACCTGCCTCTGCCTCTGCCTTTCTGCCTCTGCCTCTACCTCTTGAGTGATGGGCATAAAGGGGTGTACCACCACATGTGGCTGATACTAGAATTTTAGATGTCCTTTAGCCCTTGGGCAGAGGCCAGCTGTGCCAAGCCCTAACTCTGAGTAGGAATTCTGTCTTCTGACCTACCTCTTGGGACTGGCCACTGAAGATGAGTGGGTCCAAGCAAGGTTCAGAACCCCTAGAGCCATCACCATCACCATCACCACGGCTGCACATCACTATTGGTGATTAAAGCCAGTTCATGGACCGTAGGGACAACCGTCACCACCCACCAGGCACAGACCCTGCTCCAGATACTCTCTCTCCCATCCCAGAGAAACACCTCTTGGAAAGCAACCCTTCGGCTGATTCCACCTACTCCTGTGACGCCCTAGGGGACCACGAACTCCTATTTTTAAAAACAACCAGGTTCCTCTCTGGCCTGTGTGCTCACCTCATTTGTCCAGACCACTGTCCAGCATACTCCATGGACTCATGTGGACAATGTC